AAAGAAAGAAAGAAAGAAAGAAAGAAATGCTTGTTTATCTGTTGATGTGAAGGGTGTGTGCGGCTATGTCTCTCTGGGGATGCTACTCATCCTCTGGCTATGGGTTCCTCTGGCATCCCCGGTTATGCACCGGAAAGTGGGATGTGACCCCGACGCGCCAGGTCCTCCCAGCATAATGTTTTCTGGCTCGGAGATGGGTGGTGGTTTCCTTCTACTACAAGACAGCCTGACTCCCAGCATCCCCTGCTGTGCATACAGCCACAGCCACACCCCTCGCTCTCAGTGGCCTGGCTGCCAGCTGCCTCTTCCCTCCTGGGAATACCGTGTTTCTCACTGATGCCTGCTGCTGTGTGACTGTGGGGGCTGGGTGGCCACTGTGCTCAGTGCCGGCACACTCTGCCAAGCAGGTGATGGTGTGGAACCTGGACACAAAGGAGTCTGTAGTTGCAAGCCCCGTGAAGACAATCGCCTGTCACCAAGATGTGATCCTCTCCATGTCCTTCAACACCAACGGCAGCCTGCTGGCCACCACCTGTAAGGACCGCAAGATTCGCGTTGTCGACCCCCGACTAGGGACTGTCCTCCAGGTTGGTGCTGGTCAAGGTTTAGGGGTACTTTTAAGGATGGGGTGACAGCATTGTCAGCAGCTGGGTTCAGCCTCTGGAGGCAGCATCCTTAGGCAGCCTCAGCATCATGGGGGTGGAGGGGATGCTGAGATTTGCCATGTTTACTCTACGGATAAGAAAACTAAGGCCAGAGAAAGGAAATGACTATGTATACAGGTGGGCTGTGAAACGTTCTGACCTCAGAGCTAGCCACAGTGCCTCAGCTCTGTCTTGGCAGGGGACAGCAGCCACCTTAGGCCAGCACCTTCTGCTTTGTGAGCCTCTGTTTGCTCAGAAGCTTCAATGGACCTTCGTCCTTCCTCACTGGAGCTAAAAAGGACAATGTCCACTGTCCCTCTGCCTCACTCAGGGCTCACTGTGCTCCTGGAATAGAGGATGGAGTGGGACAGGGTTTCGTGGCATGTGTTGTAATCCTGAGACAGGAGGAGTGAGGGTTCAAAGCCAGCCTGGGCTACATCTTGAGGCCCTGTCTCAAGAGAAAAGAGTGTGGAGGGCTAAGGCTTGCCTGACTCTTCTCAGAGGCAGCTCTCAATAGAATGGGGAGGTTTCACTTGAAGGAAAGGACGCCTTCCTAGAAGAGGTGTACCAAGTGACTCCACGGGTGACAAAAGCGACAACCAGGGTTGCAACAGGCGCCAAGCAGGGAGCCAGGAACCCCACCTATAGCTGTGAGTCCCCTCCCCACAGCTCTTCAACAGTGACCACACTTATCCCTCCAGGAAGCCAGCTACAAGGGGCACCGGGCCAACAAAGTATTGTTCCTGGGGAACCTCAAGAAGCTGCTATCCACGGGTACATCCCGATGGAACAACAGGCAGATGGCCCTGTGGGACCAGGTGAGTCTCCACCTATCCTCACCACCACCCTGCAGCCCCGCACAGCCTCCCTTCACTCATCTGGGTCCTTTCTCATTCAGCCTGGTGCTCACAGTCAGCGGACAGTGGGGCTGGGGGCTGGGAATGAGTACCAGGGATGGGATAGTAGTCCATCAGGCCAGCTAGCCTTGGGCCCCTCATCATTCGGGAGAGAGGTGGGGGTTCCAAGAGAGGGTCTGGGGAGGGAGTAGAGTAAGGCAGGGGACAGATGGAGGTCAGGTGAGTGTAATTGTGGCCCACTGTGGGTGGAAGGTGAGCGGTGCTGTTCTGTTAGGTGTTTTGAAGACTGAGTGAGGAACAAGATGCCTCGCACCTGCTAGACAAAGCAAGGTCTCCTTCGTTTGTTAAAATAAGCCAGAAGCCAAACTTAGCTTGGAGATCAAGGTCATCTTTTGCTGTATATTAAGTCCAAGTATGGTGTAGGAAAGCTTGTTTCCTGGAGAGGCTTAGGTATAGGGACAGTGTGCTAAAAGCCAGCCTCAAAACCATCCCCAAGTTTTCTATTTTAAAAGAGACTTGTAGATGTGGCTCAGTGGTAAAGTATTTTCCTAGTATCATGAAGCCCTGGGTTTGATTTTCAATGCTGGGGGGAAAAGCCAGGTATAGTAAGTAATTTTTATAATCCCAGGCAGAATTGCTCTGAGTTCAGGGCTAGCACGGCTAGCATGGGCTACAGAGTGAAGCCTTGTCTCAAAAAAAAAAAAAAAATTTTAAAAAGACTTGTTAAAGGGGCTGGAGAGATGGCTCAGAGGTTAAGAGCACTGGCTGCTCTTCCAGAGGTCCTGAGTTCAATTCCCAGCAACCACATGGTGGCTCACAACCATCTGTACTGAGATCTGGTGCCCTCCTCTGGCGTGCAGGCATACATCGAGGCAGAATGTTGTATACATAATAAATAAATAAATCTTAAAAAAAAAAAAAAAGACTTGTTAAAGCCAGGCGGTGGTGGCGCACGCTTTAATCCCAGCACTCGGGAGGCAGAGGCAGGCGGATCTTTGTGAGTTCGAGGCCAGCCTGGTCTACAAGAGCTAGTTCCAGGACAGGCCCCAAAGCTACAGAGAAACCCTGTCTTGAAAAAACAAACAAACAAACAAACTAAAAAGACTTGTTAAAGCCAGGTGCCATTAATCTCAGCACTTGGGAGACAGAGGCAGGCAGATCTCTGTGAGTTTGAGGCCAACTTGAGAGCAAATTCCAGGACAACCAGGGCTACACAAAGAAACCCTGTCTGTAAAAACAAAACAAGAAGACTTTTGTAAAAGCAAAATGCTGGCAAAGATAAAAAGATGGATCGGGGCTAAAAGCACTCATTGCTCTTGCAGAGGACCAGGATTTGGTTCCTAGCCCTGGAGCTCACAACTGAGTCTGACACGTTCTCCTTGCCTCTTGGGCACTGCACATGGTACCCAGACATACCATGCAGGCAAAACACCCATATACATGAAATAAAATAGATAAATCTTTCTATAAAAGGCTGACAGATTGGGGTGGGGGCAGGTACTGCCTTTGAAATATCATTTCCACCAGAGAATAATTCACAGACTTGAGTCTTGAGAACCAGGACCTCTTTACAAAAGATGTGCATAATACAGAAAAGCAAACTTTCTGTCTCAGATACCAACACACACACTCTCATGGACACATTCAGAGCCAAGGGCAGCAGATCAAATCTCAGCTCCCCAGGAGACTGCGGGAATGACGTTCCTCGTCCTTTGATGGTCTCCCTTCCCTTGCAGGACAACCTTTCTGTGCCCCTCACAGAGGAGGACCTGGATGGCTCCTCGGGCGTGCTGTTTCCCTTCTACGACTCGGACACCAGCATGCTGTACATAGTGGGGAAGGTCAGCCTGGCACGGCGGGAGGCAGAAATAGCCTGAGCTTAGCTGTGTATGCTCAGAAAACGACCTAGGGTCCTTGGAGGCGCAGGGTGCAGACAGGCACTAGTGGCTAGCCTCTCCCCTGAGTGAATACCTGCTCCTCCCTTCCTAGCTCCTTAGCCTGGGCTTTGGTGTGACCCCCACCCACCCATCCTAGCTTGTTCCTCCCCAATTCCTGGTCCAGGTGGTAGTTCTCAACAGGGGAATCTTTGGATTTGAAGCAGAATAGATGTTCATGGGTGGGGGTGTCCAGTATCTAGAGCCTCTGTTCCCTGCTCAGTATGCCAGAAATGACACCTCCAAGTGACTCTGTCAATGAGAAATGTCCCCAGTGCTAAGAGCCACAGGATGGTCTCTGACATCCTGACTTCCTCAGTGGTTGTCACGTGGGAATGTTCCCAGGGCTTCTGCACTAGAGGAACATGAGTGGGCTGGGGTTGTTGGTTGTTGGTTGTTATCCATAGGCTCCCTGGGGTTCATCAGCTGTCTACTATGAAAGTCAGGATCTGGCTACTCGGTCATGAAACACTGATGGCCCAGCTCTGACCCTCCCGGTTCCCCTCCCCAGGGAGATGGGAACATACGATACTATGAGGTGAGCGTTGAGAAGCCTTACCTGAGCTACCTGACTGAGTTCCGCTCCTACAACCCACAGAAGGGGATCGGTGAGTGGAACTCCCAAGCTATGTATGGCCAGGGCACCAGGGCTGGGTCTTGGTACGGGAAGACATCAGACAGCAAGGGGATAGCCAAGGGGTACTAACCTGTGGGCTGTATCCATCTGTTTCTTGATACCGGTATCAGCACCCCAGACTGGATGAGTTAGGACAAGCAAGGCATGGTGGGGCTCTTGGCTCTGAAGTCCAAGGGGCTGCATCTGGTGGTTCCTCCTGTGTCAACAGATTACATACAAAGACAGTGCAAGGCATTTGGCAGATGGAGGCAAGGGGATCCTGAGTTCAAGGTCATCCTTATCTATATAACAAATCTGAGGTCACAGCAGGTTTTTATGGGACCTTGTGTCAAGTAAACAAAAGGAAGAAAAGAAAAGGAAAAAAAAAAAAACAAAAACAAAAAAACAAAGAACTGGAGTGGCCGGCCATATTAGGAGCGTTTAGGAAGCCAGGTACAGAGACACATGTCTGTAATCATAGGCCTGAGTAGTAAGAGCTTATGGCCAGCCTTGGCTGTATAACAGCAAGAGCCTGCCTCAAAAACCAAAAAGACAAATGAGGCTTGGTGTTGTGGCACACACCTGTAATATGAGCACTCAGGAGATGAAAGCAGGAGGGTCAGGAGTTCAAGACCATTCTCTGCTACATAGCAAGTTTTATTCCATGAGATCCTGTCACAAAAATAAATAAATAAACTAAAATACAAAATAAGCATTTAGGTTCTGGGTCTATGAGGATGAAAGGGGGGGACTTTTGGACAGGGTAAACCATCTTCAGGATCCAGATAAAAGAATTCAACCTTGGGGCTGGAGAGATGGCTCAGCAGTTAAGAGCACTGGCTGCTCTTCCAGATTCAATTCCCAGCACCCACATAGCAGCTCCCAACTGTCTATAACTCCAGTTCCAAGGGATCTGACACCCTCACACAGACATGCATACAGGCAAAACACCAATGCACATAAAATTAAAATAAATATTCAAAAAAAATTTAAACCTTGAAGGTAGAGGCAGTACCTGGTGATGGAATCCTTCGGTTGTTTCCCCGCCCAGGGCAACCCCTGCATAGGTGACCTTCAAGAGCTTGGCTGAGGGAAAATGACCAGGGAGGGCACCTGTGACTGTGATCACAGGTGCATAGTCTGCCTTTTCCTTAGCCGCTGGGTCTCAGCTCTAGCCCAGCCAGGATTTCTCATCTCTTCTTGGCCATCTGGCCACAGGTATCATGCCAAAGAGAGGTCTCGATGTGTCTTCCTGTGAGATCTTCCGCTTCTATAAGCTAATCACAACCAAAAGCCTCATCGAGCCCGTGTCCATGATTGTACCCCGGAGGGTAAGTGTGGTGGGACTACCAGCGGAAGTGGGGGGGGATACCAGACCCCAAATGTCAGAATCCCAGATCCCAGGCCCACGCTGGCGGTCATGGCTGAGGGTGGCTCCTGCAAGGCAAGGCCCATCTCATGGTCAGTACCACAGCCCTGGATCCTGAAACACTGGATCTTGTCCTGCTTCTGCTCCTAAGCTTCTGTACCCCTGGAGCGAGCGCCCTTGTTTTCTGGCTGCTGGACTCCTCATTCAGCAGGGGTGAGGAGAGCCAGACTTCAAGGCTCAGCCCTGCCCTCACTCCCCACTTCTCCTGCAGTCAGAATCCTACCAAGAGGACATCTACCCGCCCACGACCGCAGCTCAGCCCTCCCTGACAGCCCACGAGTGGCTCAGCGGAATAAACAGAGGTGAGGGAGGTGGGGAGCAGGCCACTCCCTAGGAAAATGGGAGTCCCAGAGGTCCCAAGTAGCTGAGGGGAGAGGCCCTTGCCAACCAGCTCCCAGTATTTGTTTAAAGAAAATGCCAGGGAAACAGAAGCTTCACCTGCCTTGTTCCTAAATGCCTCCTGGTCAGAGATGTCTGTCACCCCCACAGAAAAACTGCCACTGTGACTAGCTGGGTGGCTCATTCACATTCCTCCCCACCCTCACTATTTCCTCCATGGTTATTTTATGGCCCAAGATTCTCTAGGCAACAGACCGCTGTCTGACCCTCCTCTGCTTCCTCCACGCCTCCACAGCCCCCCCCACCCCCGCCACCGGTCACTTCATGTATCCCCAGAGCGTGGGCAGCCTCCTGCTCCAGTGCCACTTACCAGTTATGTGTAACCCTCAAACAGCCCCTGCTCACACAACACACACCCGTCTGCTCTCTGTGTCTGCAAGATTTTCCTGAAGATGTCAGAAAAATGACTGCGCTTCCTAGGTGGCAGAGGACCCTGTGACTGGGTCTCTCCTTACAAAGCAAAGCCAAGGCAGCTCATGCCCTAAGATTGTGAGTTCATAGCCACCCAGAACTACAGAGTAAGACCCTGGCTAAGGGGAGCAGGGAGCAGGCAAGGACAAGCTTCTTTGAGGAGCTCAGGGACCCGGATGCCACTCCAATGTATGTCTATGCTGTGCCCATGTGCTGGCTTCCCTTCCCCACACATGGGCGACACATGTTGCTCCCCGATTGCCATGGCACGGGTACATGCTTGTCTACAATACAAGCCTGCCGTGTCCATGCCCCCCCATGCCCATCTACTCATGGCCACTCAGCCCTCTTCACCAGCCTTTTACATCCCTTTCAGAGCCCATCATGATGTCCCTTCGACCTGGCTCCGAGCCGCTGGAGCCCCAGCCACTGCCTCCAGAGAAGAAACCTTTCTCCAATTCTATGGTCCAAGTTTCACCTGGGCTCTTGGAACCCATGGCACAGCTGGCCACCAATGATGACCGGACACCCCGCTCTTTGCTGGGAGAGAAGACACCAAAGTGGGCCACAGAGCAGCGGCTGGAGGAGAAGTCCTGGCTCAGCAATGGCACTGATATTTTTGAATGCCCCCCACCAAAGACAGAAAATGAGGTGGGAGGAGAGAGAGGCCTGCAGGGTGGGGGGGAGCGTGGTGGGCTGGGAGGGAAATGAGGGCAGAAGGGCAGCCTGCTGGACCTGACCTCTTGGCCTGGACCTTAACTCTCTTGGTAAAATGTAGTCACCTCATGGGCTCTGATTAGCAGCCATTTGCCAAGGTGACAGATGTGCGCACAGTGGTCCGGACAGTCTGTGAGATGCAGAAGATAGGACTTGGTGCCATTATGGCCCTGGCACCAGCGCTGTGGAATTTTGAGGCCTGTTTTTAAGAGCCAGTACATGTTAAGCATCTGCTGTGTGCCAGGCTGGTATTCTAGTTATTCCCCTGCTTCTGTGGACAAAATGCCAATGGAAACAGCCTCAGCCTCAGCCTCCACACCGAGAGAAGGAGGTACTAACACTGCCACCCTAAGAGATGTCACAGACATTTTGGGGGAACAACAGAGACCCTCGGGAGGTGCCCCATATCTAATGGCTGTTTGGTGCAGAGGTAGCAATTACGGTAAGGGGTTAGTTTATCATGGTGAGGAAGGCAGGAGCTCAGGGAAGCCGGTCACATGGCATCCACAGTCAGAAGCAGAGAGAGATGAACGAGCACTTCCTCATTCCTATTCAGTTCGGGACCCCAGCCCATGGGATAATGTCACCCACAGTTAGGGTGTGTCTTCTCTCATTTAGCCCATTCTACAAACTCCATAGGTCATTCTAGATCCTGCCAAGTTGTTAATATTAACTACACAGCCCGATGGTGGTGAAAACCCAAGTTTTCATACTCAGGCCCAAATACCCTTTGCTCTACCCCCGAGGGACCCTGGAAGGAGACGTGGGACACGTTCACACACACACAAAATCTGTTTGAACTTCATTTATTGGGTAAAGTGAGCAAGGCTTTTGTGTCCGAGCCAAGCAACTGTCCCTTGATAATTTAACCGCTCTCAAGTTGAAAGTCAGTTGCGGCTTAGCTTTGGTGTTGTTGCCCACCCTGGCCACCCAGATGACCTTGCCCTCTGCTTCCCCAGCTGCTGCACATGTTCTACCGGCAACAGGAGGAGATCCGGAGGCTCCGGGAGCTGTTGATGCAGAGGGAGGTCCAGACCAAGCAGCTGGAACTGGAGATCAAGAACCTGCGGATGGGCTTAGGACAGTTCTGAGCAGAGGTCCCCGCCATCCTTGCCCTCAGGGACACCAAGAGGCTCTGTGGGGAGGTCCAGAACCGAACCATAGGTCCCCAAGAACAACCACTATTTCTATATTTTATACCAGAAAACTCTTGGTCACTGAAAGAGATCCCAGTGGGACATGGTGCCACTTTCCCGTTGCCTTCTCACCGCTGTGGTTTCTGCCCCGGCTGGTTTCGATTGCACCCTGCCTTCTGCTGAATTCCGGTTTTAAGGGTCAGGGAGGACCTATGACCTCCCAGAGGTAGAAAGATCGGGAAGGACTGGGTAGGTCAACCTGCCTGTGGTCATAGAGTAGGGAGCGGTTTTGGTCGGTGGACTCATTCTTAACAGATAGCCTCCATCTTCATCAGCCCACTTTGGAATATATGCTTTGACTGCTAAATTATCTCTTAGAAGCTTGAAAACCACTGATCTGACTTACTTAACTAAGGCCCAGAGAGAGACGCGTAAGATCTGTTTCCTGGCAGGGCTAGACTGAGGTCCTGTCCTGGGTCTGTCTGACAGTGTTGTTCTCAGTCCCCATAGTAGGATCCATTGGTTTCTGACCTCAGCTATGTCCGGACTTCCCTGGTGACCTTTACTAAGTACTGCTCTCTCTGGTCTCGGTTTCTCCGTCTGAACAAGGGGAAAGTTCCAGTGAGCTATCACCCCCTCTGTGACTTGCCACCACATACTTGATTTTGATCGCGCCTGTGGGTTGGTGACCTGTGCTTAATGAAGAAACTCAGGCTGGTGCGGGGACTCAGTCTGAAAGGAATGAGTGAAGATTGGGCCCAATTCTAAACTACAGACAGGTAGCCAAACCCATCCTTCCAACCAGAACCAGTCAGGTGAGAGTAGATAGTCCCATAGCTGGGGACACCAACCATATCTGTTGACTCCAGAGCCTGCAGCCTCCAGGAGGGCAGACGCAGGCTTCCACCCAGATTATCAAAAGGCCTCTGTGAGGTTGGGGATGTGGAGGGAGGGCGGCACTGGAAGTGGCCAAGCCCTGTGGCCACCCACCAGGAAGGGCTCTGGTTGGCCTGTACCAGGTAAGAAAGTGGGACCAGATAGTATCTGGTCTGCAGGCCTGCCCGCCCCCCCTCCTTGTGTGTCCTGGGCCCTATTCTGAGGCTCTTTCTCTCTTGGTGGTCAGTACAGCAGCCCAGCTGTTGCCTGAGAAGAATCTAAGACAGAGCTTACTCCCCAAGCTTACCAGACACCCACTCCCCTCTGGACAGGCAGGCAATGTTTTCCCCATCACACGGGTCACCCTGGAGCTCAAGTGGGGATTGCAGGAGCCCCACAGGCTAACAGACTTTGACCACGCTAACGATTAGCATCCCTCTGGATGGACATAGTGATGACCAGACCCACCCCCGCCGCAGCTGACTCCTCAGTGGGAAGTGTGGCCCTCTGGACAAGCTGCCCAGGTGACTTCAGTACAGTGAGGACGGAGAGGCTTTGGGCGGGTCTCCTGAACCTGAGCTGGCAATCAAAGTAGGACAATCTCAAGACTCCCTCCCATGATGCCTTGCCCCTCACAGTCCCGTGTTTCTTGGTTTGTTCTCCATCCATCCATCACTAGACCAGGACTCTATTCCCGACGACGACAATCTAGCTATGCTTGCCGTGTTTGTGCTCCCGAGAAAAAAGCTAAGTCCCAGGCATTTGACAGGAACTGGAGCTGCTGGATCGGGGCTCTCTATCCTTTCATTTGTGACTAGTTTGTCAAGCTCCCTACCCCATGTTCAGAAGGCAGGACAGCCTCAGAGTGAAGACACCAGTCCAAAGCCACTGCCTCCTGTATGTGGCTGAGGGTGGGGTCTCCAGAGCTCCCCATCGTGGTATCTCTGCACAACACCATCCATCTCACCCCAAGAGAAACTCACCCCACTGTAAGGGACCCAGACTCAGACCTCACATTCAAGAACAGGTCACTGGTGGCTATGAACAAATTTATTTGTTGTTTTTTTTTTACACCTAGAATAAATTATTTAAATTATTTCATAGCAGGGGAGAGGGATAGTTAATTTTTATCAGATATTTTTTTAAAGTCATCTTTTTTTTTTTAAGATTATGTTTTTGTGTTCTTGAGTTGATGGAGCCGCCGTGCCCACAAAGGCGGTGCCCACCCAGGGGCAAAGCAGCCCTGGCCTCCCTGTCTCACGCCTTGGGAGCTCCCTTTCTGTTGACTCAGGAACTTTGTGTGGTGTGGATGAGGAGAGCGCTTGGAGATGAGCCGTCGGCTGGTACCCACCTTAGCTCTAGAATAATTCTGTTTCCTGGAACAAAACTTGAGGGTCTGCCCTAGAGGGAAACAGGAAGTGAGAAAGGAGCTATGCTTGTTGTTGAAGCCGTGCCTGAAGCTGTTTGAATGATTGTTTTAATGTTTCTTAAATTCCTTGTACCTTTGTAAAAAAATAATAATAATAAAGAAATAAAAGTAAAAAAATCGATGCAGAAATTGTGCAATGGAAGAATATAACAATCAACACTGGGTGATAATTGCTCCCCTGTAATCCCAGCGTTTGGAAGGCTGAGGCAGAAGGATTGAATTTCAGTCCAACCTGGACAGAGTGTGAGTCCCTGCCTCAACCAAAATAATAAAACACCAAGCTCGATATTGTAATGCATGGAGATTTTCTTTTGTTAATTCGTTCTGCAAGTACCAATTTAGCAACAGATACCCCTGCTGACAAACTGGCCAGTAAGGTGCTGATACCCTAGTGTTTTCGGTCGTGGTTAAGAGAACTAAGAGAACGTAGGGAACGGAATGAGGTATAGTGAGTGATGGTTGATCTGGAAAATTGAAGCTTCCTGAAGGAGGAGGGAGCTAAACCAAAACCCCACGTGGATGGGTGGCCGTGAACAGCAACTATACTCCCAATTCCCCAGGCTGCACCAGGGGAGGAGGGATCCCAGCATCTTCAGAGTTTTAGCCTGGGGCTAACTGCGGTTTCCTGGAAATCTGTTCCAAACTCCCAAGGCTGACCCCAGGAAAGAAGCCCTGCAGGAAAAGGGACAGTGGGAGTGTGGGAAATGCGGGCCCCTCCGGGCAGGCCACACCTACCAGGCATCTCCACTCCGGAAGTTTGCCGAAACCCCCAAGACCAGCGTAACCAAGGGGGAAGCCCACCTGCCAGTTAATCCATTCCAGCGAGCCCCAGCGTTCCCTGTCTGTGGCAGCCTCCTCCCGGACTGGGTGGAAGAGTGAGAAGGTGCTGTGCTGTGGATCCAGCACTAGGCGGGACCAAGGCTCATCACCCACCCCCTCCGCCCCAGCCCGCCACTGGGTGCTGGGTCGCCAACCCCGCCCCGAGCAAGGTTTCGTTTCTCGCAGCCATCCCACCGGCTACACTGCGGGACAGGGGTTGCCACAGCGAATGGCGAGTGAGACAGCCTGCATGCCGGAGCCCGTCCAGGCCGACGGGGCTTGCCGCTGGCGCTGCCCTGAGCACAGCGAACGCCCGGCTGAGCTCTTCTGTCGCCGCTGCAGCCGTTGCGTGTGCGCGCTGTGCCCGGTGCTGGGTGCCCACCGCGGCCACCCGGTGGGCCTGGCCCAGGAGGAGGCTGCGAGCGTGCAGGTGGGGAGTTGTGGGGCGTGGGGCGTTCACGCAGGTCTGGGCGGGCGGAGATTGAACAGAGGAGTAACAACAGAAATAACGGACGAAGGAGCGCCAGGCCGGGCAGGTCTCACTCCCACATCACGTTAGGACTTGGAAACTGCGGTCCCCTAGGCGGTAGACGTGAGGTTTGGAGGCAGAACCCCGTGCAAAGGTAGACCAAACCACCAGTGAAGTTTTAGAAGACTTGTTGAGGGTACTGGGAGGCTCAGGCTGATCCTCAGATGTCCTTTACCGCTTCTGCTAGGGCAGCTGCCCAACGCTGCCACCGCCTTAAAGAAAACCTGAGGTTTCGTGAACACGGACAAGGGTTCTGGGACGTTCGCCTAACGTTCGCTCGGCATCAGGGAGATTGAGGCAGGGAGACTAGAATTTAAGGCCAACCAGTGCTACATAGCAAGACTATGTCAAAAGACCGGACTGGAGCTGTGGGTGTAGAAAAAGAAAACTCCACGATTGCGCTTCATGAAGCCTAAGAAAGTCTCTGGACACTGGAGTTCATAATAGGCCATTTTCAACTGGAGCCTGTAGGCCTGTATTGCTTTGCAAACTCAATAAGGCCATCTTCCTGCCTTGAATCCGGCTCCTCCCCCTATGCAAACACACCACTGCTCCCCTCTAGCCTATCACGGCCTTTTCTGCAGATAACCACTGAGCAGGACCCCACCAGGCAGGCCTGGCTCTTCAGAACCGGAAGGCAGGCCAGGCCGAACCTCTGTCTTCACAAAGCTGATTTTATTATTTCTATCCCTAAGTAGTCTTTTGACCTCTGCCCGGCCCCACGTCATTTATGCCCTCCTTTGACTTCACCACCTGTTACAAGTATAATCTGAAATCAGGCCAATGGGAGCATGGGCTGGCTCGTGGAGTCCTGGGTTCATAAGAAATGTCCCCGCTTCCAGAACCTTCCTTTTGGTGCCTGTGAATGACTGTAATATAGATCCCCAGGTGCTGCTACCTGGACATCCAAGGCTGTTTTCCAGAGATGTGGCCCAAGTGTCTCCATCCTTTGTCTGTCTCGGGGTTCCTCTCATGGGTGCATCCACATACGCCCTAGCTCTACAAGCTTACAGAGCCATTCACTCATAAAACACCTGTTCAGTGAGGCGGGTCATAGGTCAGATCCTCCTCTTGCCTGGCTTGTCAGGGGGAGAACGGTAACAGTGCCTTGTGGTAAATACCATAGTAGGGAGCCCAAGGTGGTGGTCAGTGAGAGCCAGATAAAAAAGATGGAACTTGCAGCAGGAAGCCAAGGCAGGGAAGCGCCACTGGGCATGGCCTTGAAGGGTATTGGAGGTTTTCTGGGGTCCTAAGATTCCTATGGTTGGAGGTGGAGGGTTCAAGCCGGAAGGCTGGGGTATTCTTGGGCCACCTTGGGCAGTAAGGTGGCTTAGGTGTCACAGGAGATGCACATGGAGAAGCTAAGACCAAGGCTGACCCCCTCTCCCTGCCCCCAGTTCCCTCTTCCAGTAAAGCCATTCACCAGCTTGTTGTGTGTGTTGATGGCCAGGCACGAGAATCTCAATCAGTCTCCACAGCGACCCTGTTTGCAGGGAAGGAAATGGGTGTGGGGCACATGGCTGCAGAGGTAGGGCCACGACCTAGCCTTAGTCTTACTCTAGAGCCCACACTCCTGCCCGCTTCCTCGGGCTTCCAGCTCTCCTCTGGAAATTGGCATGCCCTGGTAATCCTGGTTGATCCAGGGTCCAGACTCCCACCTCTGTTCCTATGAGGTAGGCCCAGGTGTCAAGTGGAAGGAAGACCAGCTGTAAGGAAGGCTAAGGTGCAGAAGGGCCATCGTCGGAGGAAGAAGACCCAAAGCAGGCATTTAGTAGAATAGAAACTTCTAAAAGCAGGCACGTGAAAGGTAGGAGAGAGACACCCAGGCTGGAGGCTCAGAGGGTCAGAATCTGCTCACCACCCTCCTAGCCACATGACCTTGGGCAAGCAACCCACTCTCAGAGCCTCGGGTACCTCTGCTGAAAAGGAATTCAGGGATGGATGGGCCAGTGAGATGACTCAGCAGGTATAGGTATCTGCTGCCAAGCCTGACAACCTGGGTTCGAGCCCTGAGACCCACGAGGTGGAAAGAGAGAGGGGACTCTGCAGATCGTCCCCTGACCCTCCCCATGTACGCTATGGCCCAAGTGTCCCCTGCTCCCACCCTGTAGATAAAGAAAAATGTGATTAAGAAAAACCAGTAAAGGGGAGAGCAAGGATGAGGGTTTGAAAATGACAGCTTCCCTCTCTCTCCTGACCGCCACCGCAGAAACTCTTCCAGGACTGTCTAGAGTGTTTGGCGACCAAGAAGCGGCAACACGCTGACAACATTGCCCACTTGGAAGACGCTGGGGAAAAGCTCAAGGCAAGTGCACCCATCTTCCCTTCTCTGTGCCTAACTGAGGAAAGTTTTCTTTGGTGTGGAAACGAACCCATGGAGCTTTGTAAACAGATCAATAAAGTTCAGATATGGTCCAAAGTCTATGAAATAGAAGCCAGTGACCCAGCCAATCACCACTCCATTCCAGGGGACAGTTAAAGTCCTGGTTAACAATCTCCAGCCCACACCCTCCAAGGCTGTGTGCCTCCCTGCTGTGGCTCTTCAGGGGTCAGGGCGTTCATGTGGCAGGGGTAACCCCACCCCGATGCAGCCCTAGATGTCTCCTCGTGCCAGTACTGAGCATCGGCAACGCAGCAACACCGTTCTCTCTGAATCGCCCACATCTTGGGCAGCGAAGTTGTTTGGGGAGAGGGTTTTACCAGCCTGTGTCTTGTAGGTTGCCCGTGTGTGTGTGTGTGTGTGTGTGTGTGTGTGTGTGTGTGTGTGTACATGTGTTCATGCAGGTGAGTGTGCATCTGTGTGCCTGTGATCAGGGGGCCAGAGGTCAACTTCAAGTGTCGTCTTTTTTAAGACTTTATTTATTATCATGGGTACATAATATGATACGCCATCCGATCTCAGTATAGATGATGTGAGCCACCATGTCATTACTGGGAATTGGACTCAAGAGTCTTTCTGAGTCATTCTCTTTTTGTTTGTTTTGTTTGTTTATTTGTCTTTTCAAGATAGGGTTTCTCTGGGTAGCCCTGGATGTCTTGGAACTCCCTCTGTAGACCAGGCTAGCCTTGAACTCAGAGATCCACCTGTCTCTGCCTCCCAAGGGCTGGGATTAAAGACATGCACCACTGTGCCCAGTTTGGTTCTTTCTAAATAGTCTAGGCTGGTCTTGAACTCACTATGTAGACCAGGCTTGAATTTATGATAATCCTCCTGCCTCAGTTTTCTGACTACTGGGATTCCAAGCATACACAGAAATGCCCGGTTGGTCTTGAGCCTCAATTCTCCTGTTTCATCCTCCGAAGTGCTGGGAGTACAGGCATGTGCCACCATGTCGTACTTTGATACTTTTTGCTTTGTCTTGCTTTTTGAGACAGGGTTCTTCTGTGTAGCCCTGGCTGTCCTGGAACTCACTCTGTAGACCAGGCTGGCCTCCAACTCAGAAACCCACCTGCCTCTGCCTCCCAAGTGCTGGGATTAAAGGTGTGCGCCACCACTTCTCCGCATACTTTGATACTTTTATAAATGGGTGGGAAAGTAGGAGAGAGTGGGAGAGAGGGTCTGTGTGGATGAAGACTGCTTGTTGCCTGTTGAAGCAAACATAATAACAGATTTAGAATGTGCAGTCTGTTAGAACTGAAAGGCCCATAGGAGATGCATGTCTAAGCCAGACAAAATGGTGCTGCCTACAGTCCACGCTACACGAGAAGTTGAAGCAGGAGGATTGCTTGAGCCATGGCATTCAAGCCAATGTAGGCAACAGTAATACACATCTTTAAAAGACAATAAAAAGAGATTACTCCAATAAACAAAAAAAAAAAAAAACACCCAAAAAGCAAAGTGAACAAGTCTGCCTCAGTATGGTTGGCCACATGTTTGGGCTGGGGATATGGACCAGTCGGTCGAGTGCTTGCCTAGTAAGCACAGACCACTGGAGTCA